AGGTGTTCCATTATTGTTTTACTACCACAAAAAAACACCACACAGCACAGCACAGTACAACACTTTTAACACAAAAACAGCCTTAGAATGATTTGCTGGAAAATTATATAACATATTCACAGACCCAAGGTATTGGTTTCTGATAGATCTGGTGAACAGAGTGGATGAACCATAATATTGATCCCCAGTTCATTGTTTGTTGGCAAATCTAAAAGAAATATGCATTACTATAATGCAATATCCATTCTTTTTATTAATTTCTGCATATCAACATACTAAAATAGTAGCCATCACTTACCTCTTAACCTATTCAATAATTTTAAATGATACCAAATTCTTACAATCATTGCAGGGTTCATGTGCAAATGATTTATCTCTCTGGCAATTTTCATATCACTCTACCTCAAGAATGACCTTTTCATCTCTATCTGCTTCGCATAAATTGTTATTATCTGTCCATTATTTTCCTAAAAGAATGTAATTTTCTGGTAAAAATCTGAATGTGTTTTAAATCATATATACAACTAATTTTGTGCATAAAAATATCTAAGTATTTGGGATGATCCATCACACAGAAAAATATTTACATTTTAAATATATAAAACTAGCATTGTTACATTCATATTACCTGCTCTCCAAAAGTGATGGATAGTGATAAAGTTGACGAGACAAAAGGGATGCCACTATTAAACACACTTTATTTGTCCTTCACAACTTATAAGTTTCATTAATTTAGTGGTTATTTTTTTTACTGTTTTCAAAGAATGTTATACCCTTTTCCCACCTAATCCTTGATTTAAGAACACACTACCAGGTGTAGTTATAGGTACCACTGAACTCAAGTTAAAAATCCAATTTCCTTAACAGCTAAGGAAAGTCACTCTGGTCCCATGCGTAATTCTCCCTGAATTTTTAGATATACCCACAATAAATAACACAGAGGATGTTCAGGACTTCCAACAGTATCATGGTAGCTCTCGAGTGAGAAAATTACTAATCTCTCTTTGAGGTCTGGCTGTGGGAAGTTTAAATTACAAACTGAAGTCTTTACTTGGGCAGAATTCATAATTCACATTTTACCTTCAATTATCAGTAAGGAAATGCTAGACACTCAGAATATTAAACTGCAACATCAATAAGCCATTAATGCAAACGTTTAAGTATATTTTTAATTCAAGAGAACATGTATATAAAAATATTTAGGTAAAAAGGGTATTAAAATGTTCTAATAATGATACACCTTATGAACTAATTAAACCACTGTGGAAAACATAAAGAGGCACTACTTTTTCAGCCAAAGTACATGGAATTAACTGAGAAGGCCATATCTGTCTTTCCATTCTGCATATTTCATCATCTAAAGCAATAAATACATTTAATATCTCTTATGGGGCAGATGAGGATACAGCAGAAGTTGTTCAGAAAATTTAATTTTTGTTTATATACACATCCAACATACATGAGTACAACTATCAACATATACCACGTTCAAGCAGGACTTCCAAAAAAGTTCACGGTACATGACATGACATAATATGTAGAACTCATAAATTGTACGGCAACGACTTTTCAATACGTTGAATAGTTCACAAATTACAAAGAATAAAAATAATATGTGACTCAGTGAAATGCAATACACTACTGTAGTTGAACAGCTCGACAACAGATGTCTACAGTAAATAAACATCTAGACATTCCACAGATTAAAAATTGTAATCAATTCACCTGCAGACTACGTATACTTGAAAATGGAATGTACTCCTCAACTGTTTGAAATTTGTGGAAAAAGGGGTGTCAGTTCTGAACAGAAGCCTGATGCTTTATACACCTTCTCTCCATCTACCATAAGGGAATGATGTGAGGTTGACCATTATATGACATTAATATGCAAGGCTGATGACTCCTCCATCACCATTCGGTACTGGCCATTGGCCAATGGGAAATGGCTGGACCAATCTCAAAACCATTCATTCAGTCAATTCATCTGATGATGGAGGTGGAGAAGGTCTCTGAAACATTTGGCTCCAGTCCAGAAATAACATGGACTGTTGCCCTAGAACAGTGGTATTCAACCTGGGGTACGCGTACCCCTGGGGGTACGTGAAACTTAAAAATATATATTATTTTATGATAAACACTGAATAATCAGTAATGTAATTTATTTAATTTATTTTAGATGTAGATTATATACTATGTATAACTTGAATTATACACCAACGACTTTGGGGGTACAAAGTTGAAGAGAAATTATATCTGGGGGTATGCGAACAAAAAAGGTTGAATACCACTGCCCTATAGGATTTTATCAAGTTCAGTCACTGTGAAACCTTCAAGACTCCCTTTAAAAATAAATAAATAAACACTCCAAACTTTGGATAATGCTCCAACACATCCAAATGAAAGTAAATGCAGAAAGAGGGCATTACAGCCATAGTTTTAATACCCACCGTGACATCAATAGTACAACCTATGGATCAAAGTTTTATTCAGTTGAAAGAGAAAATATAACTGGAAAATGTTAGGCTGTCTTCCTTCTTTGATGTTTTTCCAAGCAAATAGTATGTCTATGGTTAACAAACTTCTCAATTAACTGCCTAATTAGTAATTTTGGATTATATTCTTGAAACAAATGTGACAAAAGTCAACCTTGGAGTTTGGCTTAATGGCACCATTGACAAGAATTTCATTTGAATCTGGTTTCTCACAAACTATCAAATATTATCTTACAGGTTGTGGAAGCTTAATTAAAGTGTTTAAAATTTTGTGGAGCAAGATTATGCCACCATTATTTCAAGCTCAATATTATTGAGTTATTAGATATTTTACCATTATATTCGGAATACTAGTGTACGTTTATACCCCTGTGAAACTTACTGGTCACAGTGCAAGGACACTCTTTAATGTGTACAGGGAAAACCAACTGATATTTACCTGCACCACTGTTAAAATGGTATAATTGTAATACTTTGTTGCCAATGTAGATTCATATAGAATTAATAAATGTGAAATACTAAGAAATTTATGCACTACATTCTGTAGCACATAAATGTCCCTGAAGTTACACTTTTTTTCCATTTACTGATATTGTGATATGGTATTTGTGATATCAAAATTTATTCTTGTAACTTGCAAAAACTTTGTCGCACCCACAAACTGAGCATTTGGTTAATTGATTATACTAAAAGAAGACAGTTATACCAGGTGCTGCAGAGGAAATGCATGTTTTTCAAATAACAATAACTCATTTGATTTTCAAGTCAAAAAAAGTTTAAATACACAAAAAGAAAGGTTTTACAATGCAGCTTTTGCTGAACATTTTTGAATTACTTCCGAAAAATAATGTGGGTCAAGTGACGCCCTTCCTTCTGTACGCACTCTTGCAGCCTCTCCTCGAAATTCTGCATTGCTCTTCCCAACATTTCTTCCCCCACAGTAGCGATTTCCTGGCAAATGGAATCTTTCAGTTCTTGGATGTTGCGTGGTTTGTTTCTGTATTACCGTATCTTCATTAAGAATGCCGA